GCATGTTCTCTGATGTAATCTCCACTGGGCCTTCAGGCCCATAGCCTCATTCTCTCACCAGGCTGCACCCAGTAGGAGTTACTAATGGGTTTGTCTTGTCGGCTCTAGATTGTCAAGACTCTTTTTCTATTTTTAGTTGCCAGAGTGTGCACTCACCAAAAAGAAAGGGAGAGGGAGAAAGCACTCCACAAGGGGGCCTGGTCATGCTGTCTCCTCCATTTCTCCATCCTGTCAGGATTTGGGGCATGTACACACAAATGCCCAGCGTATTTTTCAAGCTGCCAGGATACTGATTCAAATTGCTATCCGTCATGTAGGATTTAACTCCCTTAACTACCAGCCTTACAGGTGGGCCCTAGATGGTCAGATTTTTTAGGACAGTGACAAGGCCCTTCTTCTTGTAGCCAATGTTTTCTTTATGTGTTCATTAAGAAAAACTGTGGGGGTCTACTGTATACTAGTCATCGTGCGCACAGAGGTAAATTAGGAAAGCAGTTGGTAAATGCTGATTGAGTGGGACCACCAGATGGCGTAATGGTTACATTGCTGGACTTTCATGTAGTCAACCGTGGTTCGAGTCCTGGACCCAGAGACTTCAACTCATGCTGGGCACAGTGCATGTGCATGCCCAAGATCCCAAGAGGAGAATGGAGAAGGAACTACCAAGAGGTCATCCCTTCTGGGGAGCAATTTCTTGCTTTCTGTCTCTCTGTCTCTCCAGCAAATGCATGTGCTGGAAAAAAGAAAAAAAATATGGGTTGTGTTTAATACTATTGGAATGGGACTTCTGCTAGCTGAGGGGATTTTGGCAGTGGTGTTGAACTAAACTAATTCATTCACGTTTTCCCTGTTGATCTATGTTTAGTGTAACCATATATGCCAAATCCCTGTCCTCAATGGGCCCTAGATGCTCATAAAAGCTGAGTTTCTATTGCCAAACTGAAGCAAAGGACTGAAACTTAATGAGACAGCACATGGATTGTTCAGGAAAAAAATCCGCCTTTGAAAGTACTGAGTCATTTCAGTTTTTATCCCAGGATCACACAAAGCACTGCCAGCCTATTATGTGGTAGCGGCTTTCAAAACTTTTTTTGCCATGACTCTCACAGTAAAAAAAGAATTTTTTTTACATCAAAAGGTCTCATATATTCTTTCATTCATTCCCTCAATAAGTGCGTACTGAATACCTACTACATGCCATATATTATTTTAAGCGAACTATAGTAAATAAAGTAAAAGAGGAAGAAGGGAAAGGAGAAAGAGATGGAAACCAAACTCCTTGCCCTCGATGGCCTTACATATTTGTGGAACGGACAGTAAACAAATAAGTAAAATATATATCCAAATGAACGTCCAAAAAGACTCCTAAAAAACCCCACTATTACTATATACAGTACACTCTAGGTTGCTATTTATTTTTTTAAAAAATACTGACACATCCGTTGTGGCTCTGAACTCCCACATGGCCGACCTCAGTTTAAGTCCAGACTTGGCAGCTTGAAACATGCTGGGTGACTGTGTGTGTGCTTATGTGCCCAAAATACCGAGAGAAGAATGGAGAAGGGATTGTGGCACGGCTATTCCCACTGGGGATTCTCACTTTCTCGCTCTCTCTCTCTGTATCTCTGGGGAGCACACACACCCTGTAGCAAAAAAATCTCTCTAAAAAAACAGAATGGTGGTATGGTTGTTAAGGTGCTGGACTCTCACATGGTCAGCTGTGGTTTGAATCCCGGACTTGGCTTGATTGCTCACTTTTTCTCTCTCTTGTTCTGGTGAGCACACGTGCCCTGTGGCTAATAAAAAAATAACAATGATAGATAAAGTTAAATAATTTGTTAAAAAAAATGCTGGTCTAGTTGCTTCATGAAGCAGGCAGAATATGGCCCAGGAAAACAATGCAGAGCGTCACTCAGGGCTTCTGACCGAGCCCACTGCTGTCCTTCCCCTGATCTTCAAACCCCACCGCTGTCTTCGTTTGCTCTTTATGAGATCCTCACCTTGGCCTGGAGTAGCCCTTCCCTCCCTTGCCAGGTAAAATCATGTGACTACTTCCAGCCTCTCCAGACCACGACACGCTCTGGGACACCTCCCTCTACACCACTGCTTTCTGTCATGCGTTGTCATCATCAGTGTACCAGAACAGAGTCCTCTTCACTCGAGCGCCCTACGAGCAGATCTCACTCAGCTTTTTTTTTCTTTTATTTTTTTAATTCTTTTATGAGAGACAAAGGGATAGAGAAAGCACAGGAGAGCACACCTCCAATAGGGTCTTGACACCATGACTCCTCAGCCTTTACCAGTCCCAGACAATGGACACACACCCGGCGTCCTCTGAAAGGGCGCCATACATGAACGGAGAATCTTCCTATGTGGGAATGCCTTGTAGAGCACCTGATTTTTTTTAAAGTTTTTTTTTTTGCTATGGCGTGCCTATGTTTGCCAGAGAAGAAAGTGAGAAATCACCCCCAGGGGAGATGGTCACGCTGCAGTCTCTTCTCCATACTCCTCTCTGGATTGTGGGGACACACATGTGCCTAGCGTGATTTTCAGGCTGCCAGGTCCAGGATTCAAACCATGAAGTTGGCTGTGTGGGATAACAGCTCCAATCTCTGAAATGAAGGAAACCAACTCATATTCTCAAGAGAAAGAATCTAATGGACTCTTTTTTAGAAAGAATATAAAAGGATTCTGCAACTGTCTAATCCTGCTTCACTTAGTCTGGGTAGGATGGGGTTGGTGAAAGTATCTATAAATAGAGAGAAAAGGAGCTGGCAGGTGGTGATTAAGGTGCGGGACTCCCGCATGGCCCACCATGATCTGAATCCTGGATCTGGAGGCTTGCTTTTTCACCATCCCTCTCTCTCTTTGGTCAAATTAAAAATAAAAAATAAAATTAAATCTTTTTTAAAAAGAAGGGAAAAAAAAGGATCAGCAGATGACATAATGTTTATGTTGCTGAGCTTCCACATTGCCAACCATGGTTTGAGTCCTGGACCTGGTAGCTTGAAACCACACCAAGTGTGTCTGCACCCAAGATCCAGGGAGGGGAATGGAGGAGAAGGGATTGCAATGTGGCCATCCCCTCTTGGGAGGGGGGTGATTTCTTACTTCCTGTCTCTCTGTCTCTGTCTGTCTGGTGAAGGCACATGCCCTATAGCAAAAATCTCTTTAAAAAAAAGAGAGAGAAGAAATGCTAAAAAGGGATAACTTTGACAATATTGACAAAAACTAGAACTTCTGTTCTACGTCTAGAAAGGATGAGGGCTGAAGGCCACAATAAGATCAGTTACAGGGACCAGCAGGTGGCATGGTAGTTAAGGGCACTGGACTCCTACATGGCCAACTGCGGTTCAAGTCCTGGACCTGCCGGCTTGCTTTTTTACTTTCTCTCTCTCTCTCTCTCTTTGTCTCTCTGGTAAAATTAAAATAAATAAATAAACGAATAAATAAAGTTAAACAATTCTAAAAAAAAAAAAAAAGATCAGTTGTAAAAAGTTACATAAAATACCAGATCGTCAGTGTTAGGATTAGGGTCAGGGTCAGGGTCAGGGTCAGGGTTAGGGTTAAAAAAAAAAAAAATACCAGATCATAACCTAGTAAAAAATATAATTTCAATCTTTAATTATTCCAAGTAAAAAAGAAATGTAGACTTTGGCCAAATGACCTCTTAAGTTTCAGAAATCTATAATTCCATGATGTATAAATATACTATGAAAACTCTGTATAAGATATGTTACAAATTCTCTGACCATGGTTTTCAGGCTTTATTTTGAATCAGACTAATTCTGTAGGCCTCGGGTTAATAAATAGGGATGGCATATTTAAATAAGCACCTCAGATTCAGTGACAAAGGGTCATGTTGAAAAACATGCTTAACCAAATTTCTTCCAAAAGTAATTAAAACGGAGCTCAACTTGTGTGTGTTTTTAAGAGTTATTCTATGTAACTTTTTAAAAAAATTTGACCAGATTGAGACAGAGCAAGAGAGAGAGAGACAGAGAGAGGGAGGGGGAGAAAGCAAGCTGCCAGGTCCAGGACTCAAACCACGGTTGGCCACGTGGGAGTCCAGTGCCCTTAACCACCACGCCAGTTGCTAGCCCCAATATATTAAGTTTTTAATTGAAATAAAAATGGGTGGGCCAGCAGGTGGCATGGAGGTTGGGGCCATGGATCCCACATGGCCAACTTTGCAGTGTGAGTCCTAGACCTGGCAGCTTGAGGATCACACTAAGTGCATGTCTGTGCCCAAAATCCCAAGAGGAGAATGGGTGGCAGCATGGCCCTCCCCCCTGGGGCGGAGTGATTCTCACTCTCTTCCCCCATCTCTCTCTGGTGAGCACATGTACCCTATGGCAAAACACTAAAAATAGAAAAAAAAACTATAAAGTGGGCAATAAAACCATATAGGCATAGGCCAGCTCTACAGCACAATGGTTAAGCACCATGCAGGAATCAAATTCCACAAGGCCAATTACGGTTCAACTCAGCCCCAGTGACTTGAAAAACACACCAGGCACAGGCACATGTGCCCAGTATCCTGAAGAGAAAGAGAAATGGAGGAGAAAAAGATTATGGAATGACCAGGCCCTGTTGGGGGTACTTTCTCTTTGTTTCTGTCTCTCTCTTGTGTGCGCACATGTGGATAAGTAAACATACCCTCTGGCACTTAAAAAAAAAAAGAACTATACACATGAACCAGTCA